TCTCTCCTCGCTGCCTTGTCCCGCTCGCAAATAATGGCCACGCCGGATATTGAGCCTGCTCCCAGCACGCAAGCGCCGGGCCCCGTTGTCGCCGTCGCTGCGCGCGTTGTCTGTGCTTGGCAGGCTTGCTCGGCTGAATTCGACTCTACGCATTCGCTTGCCTCGCACCTGTCCATCTGCCACCTGGAGCCCGAGCCTCACGCCCGCCACGCCTGTCTGTGGCAGGACTGTCCGCAATACGACGTTCCTGCGCTCACCCGCTACGACCTGATCCTGCACCTAAAGGCCCACACCGGCGACCGCGCCTACCTGTGCCCCTTTGATGGCTGCAACAAGAGCTACATTCGCTCAGAGTTTCTGCCCCGCCATATCATCAACACCCATGCCAACTCCGATGCCGCTGCTGCCTTGCTTTCGGCACGCCAAACTCCCGCTCGCGCCAAACCTCGTCGAGCCGCGCCTCGTACTGAGCCACTGGTCATTGACTCGTCGGGCTCTGACTCTGAGAGCGATGGCGATGATGCGCTGCTGCTCCCAGACCGCAATAACAGAAACCGCGATCAGGCAGCAACGTCCAAGCGTCGCCTGTCTGCCGCCTCGGATAGCGATTCGTATCATCCGCCTCTGTCTGCTGCTTCAGAGCCCACTGAAGCTATGCTCGAGGCACAGCTGGCCTACATCCGCGAGCAGGTCGCTGACCGCACAAAAAAGCTGACTCGCGTCAAGGACAAATCGCGCCGCCTGCGCTTGGAGAACGACATATTACTAGACGCCATTGAGAACGCCTAGCAAAGGCAAATAATAGAAACACGCATGACACTTGCATACATTAATAAAGTCGCCTCACGTCAATAAATCCTTAATTAATTGTCGCGATGTAACTGGATAATAGCTTGCAAGAAGCTTGAGACTATTTGGGTGATTATCAAGCAATGCATGCCAACTTTTACAGGGCTCGAATACAACGACTCTATCATATCAATGCATTCCAACTTTTGCTCCAAGAAAAAGAAAGCACCGATGAAAAGAGGCTCTCGATGATGATGATAAAGCGTTACTGCGTGGGGCAGCATTCTGATCAAAACTATCAAATATTCGTAGAACACACCAAAAAAAGTCTTATAAAAAAGAGAGAAAAGCGTAGAAAATAGTGTACAAAGGACATTGCCAAAGGTTCAGAGGGCAAAAAAGGTTGCTCCATGCCAGGATCGAACTGGCGACGTCCGCGTGGCTCTGGTATAAGGGTATGACCTCATAAGCACGGCGCTCTCCCAAACTGAGCTAATGGA